CCCCAAAACCCCAAAACCCCAAAACCCCAAGTGAATAGAATTATTCAAAAATTCTTAATTCGTAATTATTGAAGATAAATAATCAAAGTTTTGGCTGCTCAGAAGCTTTTGTAAGAGAAGGCTTGAGTAGAATTTTGCCAGCAGTTTGATTTTTCATGTAGAATGCAATAGCCTCTTTAATTTGATGGAATCCATATCTAGCTTGAACCTGTGTTTTTAATTCGCTTCTAAGCATAGCCTCAGCCTTTTGGACGATTTCTTAAACTTCTTTTGGAGTTTTCTTGACCAAGAAGACTGAAAGTAGGAAAGATTCAATGGTTTAAGCCTTTCCAATAAATGGAATAACCTTAATGTTTCCAGCTGGCTAATCTGAGAGCAATCCGTAGAGAATCAATGTTGATCCAAAGGTTAAATACTCTAGAATCTCTCCAGTGAATGTACCAGCTATACATTCCAAACAAGTAGTAGGCTTGTATTTAGCTGCTAAATCTTCCATAGTTTTTTTGTAATCTGGTAAACTAGTGTTTACAATGGCTTAGACTCCTAGATCCTTAAGGATCTAAACTTGCTCTTCTCTTCTAATGGTGCAAATAGTCTGGATGCCTTCCTTTTGACAGAGCTTGATGAGCATTCTTCCAATCTAGGAAGCAGCAGCAGTGATGACCACACATTTTGACTTAAGCTATTTGATTCTTTCAACCATACAAACTGCAGTCAAAGGGTTCACAATGAATGACGCAGTCTCTTCGAAGTCTAGGTCATCGCTAAGAGGGAAGGTATTTGAGACGTCTGTTACTATATAATCTGCATAAGCACCTCTCATTTTATAGATAACAATCTCATTTGCTTTCATGAAAGCACATTTTCTACCTACCAAAGCCTTAGCTCTTTCACTCTCACCTGCAGCAACCACAGTGCCTGAGCCTTCCCATCCTGGGGTGTAAGGATAATCTACCTTTACATTATATAAACCTCTCATGAATAAAATATCACTAGGGTTTAGAGTAGCTGCTTCAACTTTAATAATAACTTGGTTTTTGCCTGGAGTCTAGACTGGCACCTGACCAAAGTCTACTTAACCAGGTGATACAATCAAGACTGAGTTCATCATCTTAGGGATGCTAGCTGATTTTTCCATTTGTACGATTGTGATTTGTCTTTAAATTAATATCTTAAATATATCTTTAAGTATAATAGAGACTTATCAATAATTTAAAAGCATTTTAACAATCTTTATTACTAAATGAACAACTAGATTATAAATCAATCGATTTCTTATTTATCTAACATCATGATTCCCTTCTCACATCTTTTTAATGAACAAATTGAGATCAGGTCTTTCCTCACCATCTTCGTCTTCATCTTGATGTAATACTGTCTAGTATCCGCTAATAGCAAGCTTATCAATGACTTCTTCAAAGTGCTTAAGATCTTACTCCTAAAGCTTTTACTTCTATCCTTCCTGATGTCCTTGGCTTAATGGTTGATTTTGTTGAGACAACTGTCTGCCATCCTTAAGTCCTAAAGCTTATGCTTTGTTTGACTTAAGTTTTGGAGTGGTAGCAACTAAGTGAGCTCTGCTGAAGAGCATGAGTTCTTTGAATGAATCAAAATCAACAAAAGAAAGTAATGTGTCCATAATCTATTCATCAATCTCCTCTTTCCTTTGCTCAACTTGCTCCAAAAAATTCTCCATATTAAACCCTTCAATTGCTTCTTGTAATCTCTAAATAGAGTTATATATCAAATGGTAATACCTTTGAAATGTAAGTCTCAATTTGTTCTTGGTAATTTCTGAATATATCAGTGTAAATGAGTTTATTTTCCTCAGTTGCTTCGAAATGCATGCAGTTGGCTTGGCAGAACTTTTTCTAAAGTTGCTCGAAATTCTCATCTAGTAATACTTCTTAAAGTACTCCTACAATATGATCAAATTCATCATCCTCATTGTTCTTTCCTAATCAAAGAATTAACTCTTAAATATTTTTACCTTGAGCAGAGATTTCAAATTCTTCATCTTCATCAAAAGCTTCTCCTATAAAGATATGTTAAGATTGATCTGTCATTGATAATGAAAGTCATGTATTAAAGATATAATATTTGCCAAAAGAAGTAGAAATTAGATTTTGAATATATTACCATCAACAATGTCAACAAAGTTATCAGTTCCCTTGCCTTCAATCTCCATTTATCTGAGTAACTCAGCTGCATCATGCACGTTTTAGGACTCCATTAATCACTTGCAAATTTAAATTATTGATTTAAATTCCAAATTTTCAATTCATGATCATGCATGCGGGGTTTTGGGGTTTTGGGGTTTTGGGGAGATCGGAAGAGCACACGTCTG